AAGCAGAGCATAACGAACTACTAAGAAGGAGGGAAAACACCAACAGACATCACATAACATAAAAAATATTTCGAATAATCACATAAAATCGTCGTCGTCGAAGTCGTCATAGTCATCTGAAATAGGTAATAGAAAAAGCTGTCAGCAGTATCGCAAATTATCAAAATCACTACCCAGCAGGAAAAATTGCGATAACAAACCTGCTCCATCGTAATCGTCATAAACCTTCTTGTTGCTAGCTTTAGTAACCTTCAATGTCGCTTTTGGTGCTTTCTTTGTGCCAGGAGCCGGTTTGACCTTAAAGTTTTCCTCCAACTTGAAGACAAATTTCATCCCAAAGTAACAAAGGTACACCCACATCCCTGAGACGGAGTGGGCGTGGCAATTGGCATAGGATGGGTGACTCACGAAGAAGGTCGTTCAGGGCGTGCCCCGCTTTTTCAAAATGGTTTTTTTTGCATTTTGTAGGGGCTTGAACATAGACCACAGAAGTGGGGTTCATTTTCGCTGAGCGGCCCCAGGAACGCCAAAAAGGAGTGAAAAGTACGTCTATGTACCCTCATACAAGGGACGTTAAGCGCTATACTGGCGCCAAATTGCGTCGACGTCGAAAATAAGTGTCAAAATCGTAATCAGGACCATCGATTACCCCCATGGACGAACTTTCAGCCAAAAAATTTTTTTCGATTTTTTCGGGTTGTGGTAGACCATTTGGTCAGCAGTTGACCGGAGTCTCAGATCCTCGTAAAGGTGATAACGTGACGATGACTGGCAGGCCGCCGGGTAGGATAGCCGCGTCGCAAGAATGCGCCCAAGGTATTTCATGCTTGGCATTAGTGTGGGTGGTCGCGGCATTCGTGGAAAAGCATCCTGGGCCTTTCTCGATGCCTACCGCCTGCTCGCCCAGCGAAGATGTCGTTTTTCCCCTACCCAATAAATAGAAACCGCATTCGTTCAAGTTCCTCAACGACGTATATCTGTACCAATAGAATGAGGGAGTCCGTATAATGAGGCATTGTAAACTTCAATAGAAACACTCTCAGGCAAAACCCAACACACAAACCCAAGAAAGTTAGAAAAATTTCATGGCCGAAAAACTGTCTACAGGGGTAATCGATGGCCCCGATCACGATTTTGACACTTATTTTCGGCGCCGACGTAATTTGGCGCCTGGGTAGCGCTACACGTCCCTTATATGTGTGTACCTAACGCATTCATTGAAGAAACATGTGGCCATATTAGCGATAAATAGCACCAGCTTTAAGGGGAGTGTCATACTGATTGGTTTGATTCGGGCATTGTCTAACGATCAACTTTCAACTACGGTCTTGCCTAATGGTACACAAAACGTGAAATAATTGAATAGCGCCGATTCATGGAGTATCCCCATTTAGGCCTGCCCGCAATGGCAGTTATCGGAATTATATTCATGCACGGAAATCTATGAATGGAAGTAAAGCAAAAGCTGAATAATGCAAAACGCTGCGCTCTGTGGGGAATTGAACCATCAACCCTATCCTCACTACCCGATTGACAATCCTCCACGCCATCCGATCACTGCTACTGACTGCCGCTCTGGTTGTCACTCCAAGAAGCCGTTCACTCTTGATCACGTGCCACAAGTAAGACCCCATACCCCGACTAATTTTCTCGTCGATTCCAATAGCACCTTTTACAGGGATTCGACAGTGAGCAGCTAGTCAAGGTTTCAAGCGGTCTCAGCCATAGATTCTTCGAACACAAACTGTGTTCCCCGTGGATTTCGTTTTTCACTCTTTTTTTGGCATTCCAGGGGCCTCCAATGAAGCCACACGTCTTGCGTTTCTTTGTGCGAAAGGCCCTACAAAATGCAAGAAGCCAGTTCGAAAAAGCGGGTGCACTCCTTGAACGACCTCCCCTGTCACAGGATATTTCAACGTCAGGCAACGGTAACCTTGTCCTGTTCTGTTATGACAGGACAGAGACACGACCACAATTGTCTCGAATTGATATCTCACCAAAGGCACAGTCACTGCCACGTTTAGTTGATGCACACAGCCAGCCTATCTCAGGGATTTTGCGTGTAATTTCAAGGGTCCAATACTAAACCTTGCCCAAGTAACAACAGATTTAGCAAAACTATTTCCAACCTTATCAGCCGCCTTCTTTGAGTCAGCAAGAGTTTTCAAATAATTTGACATAGTTCGTAGTTCGGACGCTTCTACTGAAAACGCGGTAATTAAAAAAAATGAAACAATACAAGCCCGCTCAGTTCTACAACTTCAAACAAGGACCGCAACGGCCACACTGTCAGAACGCGAATCACTTGCAGGTTACATACGAAGAAGAGGCGAATGGAAAGCTTTCGTCCGGTCCAGCCTTTGAGCGAGCGCTCTGCACACGGCAACTCTGTAGCTTTCGAAAAAGTTTTTTTTGTGTAAAATTTAACGTTCCCTATCCGACTACTGTATTTGACAGCTCTTCTGAAAAAATTCACGTGGGTTGGTAAGAAGCAACCCTCCAGTAGATTACCCCATGATAATTCACCACATTCTAGAGTGCCGGGAAAAAGTAAGTGAGCTTTCAATGTATACCAAAAACGACTCACGATTCTCTGTGATAGTTTGAATAAGTTTGTTAAGCATATCACCATAATGTGCTGCTTTATGCCGCGTTGCCAAGAATGTGCCGACCTGTAACCCGACAAAATTAACGGTCGTACAATAAGAATGAGAAGACAACTGACTTTTAGTCCCCAGTCCTCAAATTCGTCTTTCGTAAGGATATCACTGTAAGGTCGCTCGTCGCCCGTACATGGCTTCTCTAGATAATAAAAAAAATAATTAATGATAGCGACAGACTCTCTGAAGACGCATAGAACTCGCAAGAAAAAACAACCTCCGAACATCTCCAGCGTAAGCGCAAGTTCTTGCCGTCGTTGCATCTCCTCTCTTTCTGCCGCTGACAATTCCCGAGAAAAACTTTCCATATTGAGAGCATTGGTCTGAGATCAGAAACGATTATGGGCCTTACGCACGTATGGGTAGAGGCAAACCTTCTTCTGCGTCTTTGCTGCCGGAGGGGGTGCCACCGCTGGTGCAGGTTCAGGAACTGTGTCGACTACCGGAGGTGGGGGAGCAAGAGACTGAACCTCAGGCTCAAAATCGTCGTCATCTAAATGGTCAGCTAGGTGAACCAGGGAATCGAAGTTGTAACAGCTCGTAAAAACTCACCCCAATTATCGCCCATTTCGATGGAATAACCTTTTACAGCGCTATCACGTGAATTCTGCTAAAAAACCTGAACCTTGAGAGGTTGCGGGTAAGTATGATTAGAAAAAATTCCACATACGTCAAAAGTGAAGATATGACCAACGAAGAGTACGTGCACGAAAAGCAACAAAACTCATAATAATCTTTATTTCAAAGCTAAACAGATGCAGTACAGTAAGTGTCAAGTCATCGAAATCAAATATGTTCAAATGTCACGAATGTCACGACTGATTTCTTGAACTTCTCTTGGCCATCGAATGGCAAGACAGCTCACAAATGACATCGCGTCGCTCAACACAGATCAATTTCTACTCAATCCACCGTTGCGCTACAATTGCAATAATAATGAGCCTTCAGACACGCATACAAAGAGCTGACACAAAGTGATGGTCGGTCAGACCGCGTTCATACTTTACGATTCGGGAGGAAAGAGACTAGGAGAATCGCGCAAAAGAGAGCATAGGTTTCAATCCTAGAAGAGTAGAGAACGAAAAAAAATCAATGTATTCCCATCAGCTTTGTTGGCATGCATTCTTCCATTACATTGATTCCGCGATCTCCTTTTCTCCAAGAATGCCAGACCGATAGCTATACTTTCCCTGAGCCCGCATTCTCCGATTCTCCTAATCTACCAATTCACTAAGTATGAACACGGTCTGATCGAACGCTCCTTAAGACTACACACAAACCATTAAATGCGACAGGGCTAGCGCTTTCATTCACAACTCCTTGTTAATCAATTGGCACGACAAAATACTATCTATGCTTGACTATATCAATATGACTAACGTAATATGGCCTAATAACATTCTAGCCATTATAAGGATCATCTGGTCTATCCGTTACAAGAGAGAGAGGAGACATGTAACCCGCTGATGATGGTCGATCCATACTTCTAAACAGGTGGTGGTAACACTTGTTGAAATTCGGAATCATTAGATATCCTTTAACTTCTCTCTTCTTGTAACTTCGACATATTAGTTTTTTTTTTTTTTGTTTATTCAGTATGCAATGATGCGTCTTTCGGAAATTTCAAGTGAATCACTATATATCGGCTGGACGTTTCAACTTTATGGTCCTCTTCCGAGTCCAAAAGTGTTTCGATTAAGAGTTGTACACTACGCTGCCGAGCGCAAAATGCACCCCTACATTTGCGATGACATGGTTCTTACCCAACCAAGAACCTCATGCACGCGAAAGAAGCGCTCACATCTCTGGCTCCACGTAGGATGTTGGGAAATAATCCGCTTAGTTACCATATCTACCAGACAAGACTTACTAAACCGTCCCCTTATACGTATTGCTAGGCAAGTTCACCCGCTTCAATTTGTTGGGCCTGGGATATAACCGTGATGTACATTGCTCAAAAGCGAACAAATGATCACTGGTAATTCAGTATGTAATGTCGTGACCTTTAAAGGCAGTTGGCACGATAAATCCCCAAGACGAGTAGGATAATACGCCTGGCAGGACGGAATTCCGCGACCCTGAGCAGGCGCTGCATAATGCCTTTTTCAAGGGAGGTGCCCTTATAAGGGCCCTATCAACCACAACATTCAACGCCATAACGCCCGCCCACCCTCAAATGGACGACTGTGCCTGAGGGATTGGTATGAAGCGGCCGTGATGCTGCATGGATATATGAGTACACATATGCAGCCGTACCTTCGGTTATTGGCAAGATGCCTACAGGAAACTCGTCCAAAATTGATTCCTAACACATTGAGAACGGAGGCTCTTTCTTCGCAGGATTTTGACCGTTTCACTCCGTTCCTTCGCCATTTCCCCATATAGGCGCTCCTAAGAGCATTTTGTAGCGGCGAACACCAAAATCATCGTGCGCAAATGCCTTAAAAGACAATTACCGCGATAAAGTGTTCGGGTAATTGGTGCCCAGTAACGAAGCAGTGGCCCATTTGTAACCCCCCAGTGGAAAAAAAACCTCGCGAACACCCGGAACACGGACCTCCCTTTAGCAGTGGGGGCGGGGCCTGGACGAGTGCGCCGGCTGTGGCTGCCGGGATCGGTGCGGCGGCCGCAATTGCGTCCCGACTTTCGAAATAGGATAATTTTCGAATTCGAATAGGAAATAGGAAACTGCGGAAACAGCTACGCCCCTGAATCGACGGTTGTCGGAGAGGAGAGCTCCCGTTTAATCCATCACTTGCGTGTGTCGAGAAATTCCGGGCATCGATGTCTCGATAAAACGTGTTCCACTGATAATTACAGGGTTTTTTCTGTCAGAGTGGAGCTGGGGAGAACAGAGGAGCTCTTCTCAGTATTCATGCTGTTCTGTTATATTCTCTCCTGCTACGCGCGATGCGGATGCTCTAAGCAACAAGCGGGAGAAACAGACTTTCGTACGTGATACTCATCTCCCCGTGCTTTTTCTTCAATCCTCCTTCACTGCCTTCTTTAGTTTCTTTGCCCTCTCTATCCTACTGTATGCTTTTCGTGGCTAAGTATTCTGGGGGACCGCACGCGCGGCGCAGGACGACGTGATGACTCATCGGCATACTTGAAGCGCGATTCTAGCAGTCAAATTAGAATAAAACAAACAAGATTCACCGTGAACTTGCTGAGAAATCCCACGGAAGCCGAAAACAAATGTTTGATCCTTTGTAGTCAACAATAACAGTCACTAACAAACAGGCAACAAAATCTTGTAGTTAATTCAAAAATCTTCCACCCACAACTGTTTCTTCGGACTTTTTAGCGTCACTGTAATAATATATCTAGGTCGGTGTTATATCCATGTCCTAAACACAAAATTACTTCTATTTTGCCGAGGAGGGAGCAGAAGAGCAGATGAGTCATCGCACGCCGCGAG